TTAGGCTTCTAGATGAGCCTACAGATTCGAGTCCCACAATAAATAAGTGAAATTCATGCAAAATATTATTTTTTTCTTCTTTTGAAGGAAAAAAAGAAAAAAAAAAAGAATGAAGAGAAATTTTCTAAAAATATTGAGTTTGTCATCGAAATACCAAACTTTATATTCAAATTTTTACTTAAATCTAAGTAAAAGATGCTAATCCCCAAAGGTGATAGATAAGGCCTCTTTTAGATGATGGAAATGAAGACATCGATGTTGTAATTTTGATTATAATTAAATTTGTATTTCAAATTATCAGCTAAAAAATAATAGTAATGTTACGTTGATCAAATTTTAGAATTAAATTTGGAGCTCAAATGACATGACAATATATTATTTGAAGTTTTTATTAGGACGCAAATTTTAAAGTTTTTAACTATCATGTCATTTGTACTTTAAATTTAATCTCAAAATTTAATCAGTGCAGTATTATTGAAAAAATAAATATTAGAGCTTTGGAAATGTAATCCGTATCCCTCACCTGCTCACGATGGGATGACAATCTTGATGTCTTTATTCTAGTCATACTTTCATCATTAGATTAAGATTTTCATTGTGTTAAATACATTTGTTTTTCCCATTATTTATGAGAGTTATGAAAGTGGTTTAGGTAGCCAAAGACAGTAATGATAGGGTGGTTGGGTAATGGACCTACATCAATAACACATTTGACTATTTTTCATCTTTTCCAATTTTGTTTTAAAATATTTTATTTTGTTCATTTGTGTTTTTAAGTACGGCAGAACAAGTGCTCGCTGTCCCAAACAATGCACCACCATAGGTTCAAGCTTGGGGAATCAAAGGATGAATATAAAATTATTTACGACTAAACTCTTTAAAACCAAATTATAAACACGAAATTTGTACACCTATCTGAGATTATATTATAAATGAAAGTCATGTACTCTAGTTTCAGATATTACTGTAAATTATAAATTTGAATCCCGAACAATCAAAGAATGGTTGAATTAATGGATATAATTAATTTATTTTTTAAATAAGATTCACTAATATTACCATTCTTATTTATTTATAATAAAAATTTGAAAAATAGATTTGGGATATATAATATTATTTTTCAGACAATAATTTACACCATCCCATGTGGATTTGGTGTAAAGATGAGAGTAGGTATTCGAATTTCGTCTTAACTAATTGGCTTGGTTATTTTAATTAACATTAATAAAGTTGCCGACAACATTACTTAAAATTGTTGGGTAGTTTGTAAATAATATTTGGGTGTCCATCGTGTCGTGTTTTCTTGTTAATGCTTCGTTTGGTACAATGAAAAAGTGAGAGGATAGAAAGTTGGAAGGATATTATAAACGAAAGTCATGTACTCTAGTTTCAGATATTACTGTAAATTATAAATTTGAATCCCGAACAATCAAAGAATGGTTGAATTAATGGATATAATTAATTTATTTTTTAAATGAGATTCACTAATATTACCATTCTTATTTATTTATAATAAAAATTTGAAAAATAGATTTGGGATATATAATATTATTTTTCAGACAATAATTTACACCATCCCATGTGGATTTGGTGTAAAGACGAGAGTAGGTATTCGAATTTCGTCTTAACTAATTGGCTTGGTTCTTTTAATTAACATTAATAAAGTTGCCGACAACATTACTTAAAATTGTTGGGTAGTTTGTAAATAATATTTGGGTGTCCATCATGTCGTGTTTTCTTGTTAATGTTTCATTTGGTACAATGAAAAAGTGAGAGAATAGAAAGTTGGAAGGATATTATAAACGAAAGTCATGTACTCTAGTTTCAGATATTACTGTAAATTATAAATTTGAATCCCGAACAATCAAAGAATGGTTGAATTAATGGATATAATTAATTTATTTTTTAAATAAGATTCACTAATATTACCATTCTTATTTATTTATAATAAAAATTTGAAAAATAGATTTGGGATATATAATATTATTTTTCAGACAATAATTTACACCATCCCATGTGGATTTGGTGTAAAGATGAGAGTAGGTATTCGAATTTCGTCTTAACTAATTGGCTTGGTTCTTTTAATTAACATTAATAAAGTTGCCGACAACATTACTTAAAATTGTTGGGTAGTTTGTAAATAATATTTGGGTGTCCATCGTGTCGTGTTTTCTTGTTAATGCTTCGTTTGGTACAATGAAAAAGTGAGAGGATAGAAAGTTGGAAGAATGAAAAGTTAGAAAGATAGCTAAAACATCATATTTGGTGAGAAAAGAAAGTAGTAAGGATGAAAAAGTAGATGAATTAACTCTCTTTCCAACTCACCAAAATCAATCCCTCCAAAATTGGAAGAAAAGTATATGAAAAATTAATTATTTGTGTTGAGATGTATCTTATTTGTCTGTATATTTTTTTATATATACATATATTATGTATACATTAATTTCATATAAAAATATAATGGTAAAATATGTATACATATTTTAAAATAAAAATTTTAAATTAAAAAAAAAATATTTTTTTCATCTTAACTTAGAGTGAAAATTTTCGACTCAACACGATGACACGACTCGAACTCGATATGAAAATAAACAAGTCAACTCGCAACTCGATACGATACAATTAGTTAAATGAATTAAGTTAAGTTTGACTGATATTCGACATAAAATCGTAATGACTCAACATGAATCTGGCACAACACTACTTGATTCGATTGTCACTCCTAATCTTAACCAGCAAAAAAAAAATAATAATAATCATTTTTATTTTCCATTCATATAACCAGACATAAAAGAAGGAAAATGTATTTTTCATACTTTCTATTTTTGAATGATAGAAAATATATCCCTCTTATTTTTCATCTTTCTTACTTTCCATCCTCCATACCAAATGACATATAAGATTCAAAAAAAATTTATTTAGTGTATTTTAAATATTAAATATTAAATATTAATTTAAATTATTCATTACGTATATTAATAATCATATTAATTTTATAATCGTCCGGTCAAATTTATGTTAAATTTGTGTGAAAGAGTTGGCACCCCTAAATATGTTTGAGAAAGGAAAAATGCGCTCTTTACAACAACTAAAAATAGAAATTGAATCGTCGCTCGGGTCAAGAAAAAGAGGCAGTTGACCGAGTAAATAAAAGCATGTTGTCTGGTACTCAATTCTCAAGACCGAGGCAAAATGGCCTTCTAATGTACAATTAATGAGGGTTGTCGTTAATTTTATTTTATTGAGAAAGGCTATTGTACCGTCGACCGTATTATATTCAAAATTATAATTTTTTTAGGTATAAATTATAATTTTTTTGAAGTATAAATTATAGTTTTAAAATGTATGATCGATTACAGAAAGTTGGAATCAATACCAAAATTTTTATAATCAATCATGTTTGTCTGTGATCAATCATAATCTTCTTTTGAACGATGTAAGAGTAGAACCAGATATGTGTACATACAAAAGCCCATCAGATGCGTGAGTTTTGGGAAATTCTATGTTACCGAAAATTTTTTTTGGTATTTGTATCGTCGGTTACAATTGTTCAAGAAAGGTCATAATCAATAATAGACACTCATGATCGATCATGAAAAAATAGGTATCGATCCAAAAATTTCATGATTAATTATGTCATTCAAAGTTTTAATTTATACCTCAAAAAAATTATAATTTAATCTTAAAAAATTACAATTTTTGGTACCAGTACCATCGACGGTACCATAAAATTCCCAATGAGTTTTTCTCTCAAATTACATCATTTCCCAAGCTCATTTCATTTTTATCCTACACGTTTGAAAGTTTAGTTGTTTTTCATACACACTTTTCACATTAAAAACACATGAAATTAAATTTCAGTATTGAAATTTATTATTTTTTGAGTTCAAAATATAATTTTTTAAGATCTAAGTTACAATAAAAAAATATATATTCAAAAAACTATCAACTTTTGGAGTATTTGGGATTCATAATATTATGAGATGCACGTAATTGTTAGTATTGATCCTAAAATATTGAGACCAATTCCAAACATCTAGTCGATTGGTGACTTTTACTATTTTTAGATTAGATTGGCTTAAGTCCAAAACCATCCAATTAAGTTAATGGGATAGGGTTGGATAGAAATATNATTAGATTGGCTTAAGTCCAAAACCATCCAATTAAGTTAATGGGATAGGGTTGGATAGAAATATTATTCTATCATATGTTTGAAAATTATTGGATAGTAATAGAAAAAAGACACGTCCCACAATGTGATATAAATCAAAGGTTAAATTTTATAGTTGGTCCCTAAAATGAATTAGATTAGACTAATTTTTGATTGATCTAACGGTAAAAATTGACAAAATAACTTCACAAAGACGAAATTGATATTTGATGGACAAAATTTAAACAAATGAAACTTTATGAATTAAATTAAAATTGAAGGCAATGTTCAAGGACCAGTTATAGAATTTACCCTAAATCAAAGATCTTTTATTGCAATAGTGACATTGTATTTTGACTTGAATATCCTTGGTGGAGCTCAATTTTTGGTCAATTCAAGGATATTTTTCTTCATTTAGATCTAATTCACAACGAAGCATGGGAGGGGTACCTTGTTATAATCTCACCCATGGTGAGTACTTCATTAGTGCTGATGTCATCTTTATTGAGTATGTTTTGTATTTTTCGTCTTAAGAAAGGATTATTTTTTGTGTTTTGGATGCCTCTTACAACCCAGACCTTTTTTCACCGGCTATTTGCTCGAACTTAACAACTAATCACTGTGGCAATACGACTATTTTCATTGTTTTAAAGTTTAAACCCATATGCATGAAGCTATTTTTACTGTTTTACTNAATTTGACAAATTGTAGTACACTCGAAAAAGTAACTCATATAAACCCGCAATACCCTGAGAGCATCCTCGATCTTAGCTATTTGTCAATGAATCCCATCCACAATCTCCCTAAGAGGTGACATTATCGGGTAATTCGCCTCATCCCACACAAATCTAACATTACAAATCGTATTCACAACAAAAACAACCGAATATCTTCAAATCAAACCAACTAAAACGTATTATATTACCTGGTGAGGTATGAGTCAACAGGAACCCAATCAACTGTCAAAGAACTACTGACCACTCCAGAAACCTTATCTAATTCTTCGATCTGACGCCGTATCTTCTGAGACACTCCTTCAATGAAGCTATTCGACTACAGTAATCCACAGTTTCCATTGCATAAATCACACAACAATGCTTAACTGCTCGTACAAAGAAATTGGAGGGAATTTGGAGAAATTCACCTTCACAAGGTCATCACTGATTGCTCGAAGCGAATCTAGAGTTCCCACAAGGAGATTCCGAATGTTGAACTGCGAAATTCACAAGAAAAACCGTTGATAATCTACGAAATTGAAGTTTACAATACCAAATCTCGCGCTGAATTTGAACATATTATGTGTGTGTTGGATCATACACGGTAGAGAGGAGTATCGAAGGCGTGTTTAGAGATGGATTCTTGCAAACGACTCCAGAGAGAAGATGCGGAGTTTTGGACGGGGAGAGAGACCACCCAGTACCTTGACGCCATTGTGTTGCGCAGAGTCGCAAGGTTAATCACATGTTCTGGAATTTTCGACACATGGTTGGATTAATTACATTTATATCCACAGGTTTAGAATCAGAATCTCATTATATGTAAATTAAATTTATAAAAAAATAATAGTAACGATATATGGACTTAAAAATTAGATTTGATAATTTCAACTATTAAATAGATAGTGAATCATAATAAATGTTGTGACCTACAATGAAATTAATGGTTGAAGTTATCAAGCCTATTTTTTAAGTTCATGCCTAAATCTCTCGAAATTTATCATTTAATTAGTTGAACCTTTAAAATTTAAAAAATTACATAAAAACCCTTAAAATTTATACACAAGTAACAAATAGACAATACCTTCCTTCGTTTTTAAATTATATATAGATCTCAGAAATTTAAAATATATAATACTTAAACTCTAAAGTTTAAAGTATTACACTTGAGGAAATAAAAGACAACGGAAAAATAAAAGCGGGAAGGAAAAATGAAAAAAACCAAATAGAAAAATGGAAAAAGGGGTGATAGGACTACGACGTCGTTCAGATACGTTGATTATTTACCTTTGTACAAATTACAAAAACTAAGTTATGTTTGTTAACTGTCTTTGTTTTGAGTTTTGTATTTTTGTCTAAAATAAAAACAAAAATATGTTTGTTTATTGTTTTTGGTGTTGTTTTGTTTTCGTTGTATTGGAAACAAAGATAAAAAAATGGAAACAAAAAATTTTTATTCCAAAAAACATGCATGGATTATTTAAATGAGGTCTTACCTTCGACTCTTGTTAACCACAAAATTCCACTTCAAAACAGGGGCTATAAATATGGAATCTTTTTTGTCTCAGCCACTCTTGTTCTTCTCACAGATCAATCGCTCAATCACTCTTTGTTCTCTCAGCCACTCTCTCTCTTTTGTGAAGGTAAGCAGCGACTGTCTCTCCTTGTCTCTCTCTCAATACATCTTTCTTCTTCGAAGCTCTCTCAACAACTCTCTCTCTCTCTTCCATTCACAGATCGATGAAGACGAAGCAAGGCTCACACGTAGATACTTGCAAGGCTCACACGAAGACGACTCAAAGCCGAAGACGAAGAAGATAAGTATAACCCCTTTCATTGTATACGTATATGTATATATATACATAGATCTGTATATATATGCATAGATCTGTACATTACAGACTCTAATCATTTTTTTATCTACATAGATTTGTACAGTTTTGTACTTTAATCATATTTTTTTTCTAGTTTTGCTATCTCAAAAAATATGTTTAAATTGTTTGAGTGGTTTTGCATTTGTGGGCATCAACGTTGGGGAAATCTTCTGTTTAAATCTTCGGTTTTACAGACCATATTTCAATGCACAATTTCCTGTATATTTATAAAACAGCTTGGACATTTGTCTTTGTTAAGAAACTCATCAAATTGATATTTAATTTTATTTTTGTTTTTTATTTGTCTTTAAAGGTAGATCAGCAAGTTGATTGTCAGTAGAAACTTCTCTAATTTGCTTTCAGGATTTAGCTCAACTAGTCATAATGAAGTTTCAATTAGACGTGTGCTTGTTCTATCAGTAATTGTCAATTTTGTTCCCGGTAGGGAATAATTTGTCGAATCTGTGGATTGAATTTGATTAAATAATTCATAAATAATGATTTCAAAAGAGCACTAACAAGCATAAGGATTAGAGATTCCTTATCCTAGTACACATCCCTTATAAAGCCTATTTGGCCATTAAAGGGAACTTTATATTGTACGCGCATGCATTAGGATGGTCGAATAATCTTGGATTTTATATTTACTAAATAATAGTTGATTAGGATTGCTTCATAGGTCTCAATGGCAGATGATTGCTTCATTAGGATTACTAAATAGCAGATGATGTGAATTTAATCAAGCTCCCTTGTCTATCCATCTAAGATATGTCTATTATCTGTGCGACTATACCATTGTCATGTTTCCTCGACTGCAACTTGGAGCCTGCATTTCACTCGAGTGTCAGCTAGAATTTTAGTAGAATTTCTTTTTTTGTAATTGGGCTATCTTAATGGCATTTCAATTGTCAATACATGAAATTATCTGTGATGTTCATATTAGGATGATGATATATTGATGGTGGTTACATTTATTCTTTTCACTTTTTTCTTTTGTCTATCAATGCATTACTTGGATTTGATGTACACCTTGATCCATGTTGAAGGATTAAAGCCAACTTATGTTGGTCTTTCTTCTTTTCATCTATCATCATCGGTTTATGTGAGGTGCTGGATTGTGCTGCAGTGATCTTTTTGTCAAGACATGGAGCTGGGGCGTTGGTGCATAATCACTCTTCATTTTGCTGATTGTTCTCTCTACTTTGGGCTTTGTGCACTATTCATGCGACTGGTCACATGAACAGCTGGTTTCTGATACTGCTGCTTTCTGTCCAAGTGCTTTAGTGGTTCATTTGTTGGCTCTCAGCTGATTCCTCAGCTGCTCTTGATGGTTTGTCAACTGCTTCATCATGATCCATTTTGCTGTTGGGATGCATTGTTCACGTCCAATGTTCATGTGCACTGTCTGTTTTGTTGATGTATCAGCTTGGCTCTTGCTGGCCTTTCAACTGGTTCTTGGGGGGCTCTCATCTAGTGTTCAGTTGGTTTACTGCTTTATGGGATTTCATTGATGATGGTAGTTGTTGTTATTAGGATTTTGAAGCTGGGAATTCTTGGTTTTGCTTTTTTCATGTAACTGCTCTGCTCGGTTCTTCATGGTGTTTTGCAGCTGGTTGTAGCTGGATTTCCAGCTGGTTTTTATCAGATTTTCAGCTGGGTTTTCAATTGATTTATAGCTAGGTCTTCAACTGATTTTTAGCTGGGCTTATGTCCCTTTAAGTCTCTAGCAGGTTCATTGTTTTTGGGGTGCTATTAAGGTGGATGTAGGTCATGTTGCTGTTGAGATGATGGACAATGTTAACTTTGGATGAAGGCATTTTTTTGTCTTTCTTTTGAGGGATTAAAGCCAACTTTGGCTTTTTCTGCTTCTTGTAATGTTGTCCTTTATCAATAATATATCTCCTTTTTACCAAAAAAAATAAAAAAAAAATTTGGAATTGCTCCAATGCCCTGACAAAATATTATTCTTGAGAGTTGTACTTAAGTCATATTAAACTTTTACTGCTGTTTAATAGTTGCTTGTTTGCCAGGTGGGATATCTCTGGATTGGATTTCACTTGATCATATGGAATTGGATTGGTTTAAAATGGTGTTCGAATAGGTTTTAGAGTGGATTGAACCAAATGTTGGATATCTTGTCCATATTATGAAATAAAAGTGTTGATTTATTTGAAAAACAAAAATTAGATATTATAAAAAATATTTAGGATAAAACTTGAGATAGTTACCAAACATATTTTCTGTTTTTATTCTCATAATTTGATAGACAAAAATGATTACCAAACATGTTTTCTGTTTTAGTGTTTACCACAAAATAAAAACAAAAAATTGTCTCTGTTTTTGATTTTTTGAAGATGCAAAAACAAAAACATTATCAAACGAACCCTAAATCTATATCAGTGAGGCATTCATCACAGTGGAGCTCTAGACTAGATCCATGGCTTCTTCAATTCGCTCTCGCTTCTCTAGATCTAGAGGAATCAAATCAGGTTCCTTAACCCTCCTGTATCACAACTCTCTTTATCTAGCTGAATTTCGTGTTCGTTACTCAACTAGATGATGTTTTTACTGTTGGCCATTGCAGTTGTTTTAGCATTAGGACTCGTAGCTATTCTCATCAACATCACTGGCCTCACAAATCTAAGTGACTCTTTATTGATTGTTTGATGTATTGGTGTATAGGTAGCTAATTACAACTTTTGAACGAAGATTTGGAAGCATTGCAATCACTGCAGAATGGTTTTCAGAAGTGTGTGGTGAGTTTTTACGTTCTAAATATTTGAATTGTTGCGATCATGCTCGATTATGCTTTATAGTATTGCTGTCATGTTTAATCAATTGTTTAGTGGATTCCACTGAAATAGTTGATGAGATTTACTCATTTAATGGATAATATGCATTTAAGTTATCACTTTTTGGATTTTATTTGGGTGGTGTAGCATTACTCAAATTTAAAGGTCTTTTTACCCTTGACAATTTATGTTGGTTCACCAAAGTAGGTATTGTATGGCTTGGTGTAAATTCTAAACATGGACAAAACTGTTTTTTTCCTTAACAAAATAAGAAAAAATATGATAGAATGGCACATTGGTAACTGCTAAATTAGGGAAAAAAATTGGTATTGCGATGTGGATGGTCAAAGAGCTTTCATTTTTGTCAACCAAAGTTTCAGGTTAGCCTAATATCTTCCTCCAGAATGGATCTTAGCCTTAGGATCGTGAATTTGAATGTGACGCCCCTAAATTCGGGGGTCCCGTTGACCACCGTCAACCTGCGAAAATATCTGCGAGTGCCACATAATCTGACATTACGTAATAGTATCCTTTTATCTGGGATTTTAACTCACACGTGTAATCCGTGTTCTTTCGATTATTTAATCCAACCAAGGTTCAATATACCCCAATACATTTCGTTTAATATCCATTTGTATCTTTGAAACTAAGGAACCAAAGTCCAAGGGCATAGCACTTTAGTTTGAAAATTTGAAAATTTTGAAATAGTGTATGCGTACCAGTGCGGTTTGCCCTCTGGACAGAAAGTACCGGTACACTCTATCTTTTGGACCATAGGGTACTGGTACTATGTACCGGTACACTCTGTCCAATTTTGTCAATTTCACCTGTTTTTCATGTTCAATCCATTCCAAACCTTTCCAAATCCATCCCAAACATGTATAAATATATTTTCTACATTATACATGATTCATACAAGTCTATTACAACCCATTCCATACAATTTACATGTCAAAATGGAATTTAAACCAAAAGTTTTACATAAAATTCGGTTCAAGAGCTACAACTCGGCTCTTCTTTACCTTAGAGGCCCCGTATGTGTGTCATCCACCGAAATATGCCTCATACCTAAAATG